TCTCCCACAATTAAAAATTTCTCTGCGCTCACTTCTATAAGCTTTTCAACAGTTTCACTTCTGCCTGATCTTGTTCTCTACATTCTTGGGAGGTGCTCTGGTTTAAATGACAATGGTTCCTATTGGTTTATGTGTTGCAGCTGGTGGAACTGTTTGGGAAGGGTTAGGAGGTGTGGTCTTGAAGGAGCTGTGTCTCTAGGTGTGAGCTCTGAGGTTTCAAAAGACTTGTGCCATTTCAGGTGTGCTCTCTGCTCCATGTTGTGATTCAGATACACACTCTCTCTCAGCTGTTGCCTCAATGCCATCCTGCTGGCTGCCATGTTCACTGCCATGATGGTGATGTATTCCTATCCCTCTGGAAGTATAAGCCTTGAATATACGCGTCCTTGAAATGGTTGCCTTGTCATGGCATTTTATTACAGCCGTAGAAGAGTAAGATCTCAGAGCCCAGAGCAAGTAAACTGACCTGGTTTTGACCGTGCCAATTTCCATTCTGAAAAACAAAAAAGCCAGACCCCAAAATGCATCCCTTGTGTGATACCCCCATCCATGAGTCACCTCCTCTCCTATGACTTACCTATACAGTCAACTTTGCCATTTCTCTGTCTCTGTCTTGTCCTCCATTTTTTCCAAGCAACGTATATTCCAGTAAGGCCCAGGAATGCTGGCAACAAGAGCAACAGCAACATGGCACCCCAGGTCGAGGAAGATGGTGCTGTAACAACCCAGAAGAAAAGTGTTTGCTAACATCTTTGGAGAAGTCAGTAGCTGAGGACTCTAGAAACTGAGGTGGTGATGGTGGACCCCTCACTGTTTGCACCATGGCTTGCTCCAACCAAGACCCCTTTTGTCAGGACACTGGCTATATTACACCCCAACATTTTCAGAGATACTTTGATTCTGTGTGTGAGAAAGTCGAAAAGCAGAAAAAGGCAGCACACAAGAGCCTTTAAGGTTAGAACGGTCTGATCTTTTAAAAATGAACTTTGATTGGGCAGTGGATATTTAGCTGAAGTCCCAGCATTCAGCAGTTGTGGTAGGGCCATGAGTTTGAGACTATCTTGGGCTACAAAGGGAGCCCTATAAAAATTAAAGGCAAAATTTTAAGGCAGCTATGAAGCTGGGCATGTTGGCACCCGCCTATAATCCCAGGACACGGAGAGGCAGAGGCAGGTGGATCTCTGAGCTTGAAGCCAGCCTGGTCTACGAAGTGAATCCAGGACAGCCAAGGCTACACAGAAAAACTCTGTCTTAACTGCCAACCACCCACAAAAAAAAAAAAAAAAAAAAAAAAAAAGTAGCTGGGTGTGGTGGCAAAAACCTACACTCGAAGCCCTTGGAAGACTGAGGCAGGAGCTGCCATAGGTTCAAAACTACCATGATTCAGAAGGAAACCTTGTCTCAAAGAAAAATAATAATAAAAAAAATTTTTGTTAAGGGTGTGTTTTTTGGGGGTGGGGGGAGATAAGCCTCTGAATGTCACAGAGCCTGACTTAACTGGTGGTCTAACAATCAGGAAAATCAGAAATCACATGTCGTGAATGCCCATTCATCACATTTATCAATCAAAAAGGATCCAGAGGTGATTCATGATGACCTACACACTGACACAGTGAAACAGCTGGGAGAAATCGGTCCCACCCCAGGCTCAGGTACAGTAGGTCTGACACTGTTAAACTGTTAATCTTCCTCAAGTTGACCTACACAGTCAATGCAATCAATGGTCCATTTTGAATGTTGGTTGACCAAGATTCTAAGATGTATGTGCTATCTAGATATCAAGGGAAAAAAAGAAGGAAAAGTTGGAAGATCCACGCTACCAGAGAGATGACGCTACAGATGGGAGGAGGGGGGCAGGGTACTTTGTAGTCCACAGTATAGAAAGGGGCCTGTATACTCACAGGGAATAGCTTGCTGAGTCTGAGTTAATACTCCAGCCCAGGTGGAGGTGGGAGGATCAATTCAAGAAGAACTTTATGGGACACAGGACCCAAATTGGAAACTATAGAGCGAAAAGAAGTCGTAGTCCACTGTAGAGGATTTTAATCTCAGAACATGGTTGCTTTGGCAAGAGATCCCAACTGGAATATTAACACGACTGTAATCCAGGAGACAGAGGTAAGCAGATAAGAGTTGAAGGCCAGTCTGCTAAAGTTAGTTTGTTGAAGGAAGCATCCATGTTTGAAAGCGGTGTGATGCCAGAAAAATCAAAGAAAGATCTGACAGAATATGACATACAAATTCTCATGAGACCTAGGAGCAGGGGAAGCTACTTAAAGGAGCAACACAGAAAAAGAAAAAAGAGAGAGAGAGGGACAAAAGCCATTTTAACAGGACAGCAGTAAAAGACAGGTTTCAAAGAAAGAATACAGGTGAAGATAGAATGAGCCAGAGAATGAGAAGGAGCCAGAAGATTAGAAAAGATTGTTGGAAATATTTTGAGGTGAAGCAAAGCAATTCAGAAGCCGAGAGAAAAGCCAGATTGTGTAAATTGGTTGGAAAGGAGTTTGAGCTAGAACAGCTAGTTGAAGTCGCCAGCCCAGAACTCAGTAAGAAAAAGAAAGAGAGAGCTTATTAATCAGTAAGTCTCAGAATCTGAAAACGTTCAGGCCTAAGCTAGATTGCACAGAGTCTAGAAGCTTCCAGGACTAGGTCTAGGTTAGCGGAAAGAAGAAATAAGCCTCAAGACAACTGAAGTAAGCAAATAAAAGTTCCTTTTACAGTGCACACTCTTCTACATATATGTGTCCAGATCATAGAAAACAGTACAGGTCATTACAAACAAACAAACAAACAAACAAACATATGTCCTCCCAAAATAGATTTACCAACAACAAAAATCATTGACCAGTAGGAATCTGACAGAATGTGCAGTATGTGCAGGGAACCAGGACATCCTTCCCTCACAGAATGCAAATGCAAATGCTGATGATGGGCCCCAGAAGATGGAGATGATGCATGCAACATAATGAATATTTGTTTGGTCTCTGCTGTCATTTCCATAAACCTCCTAAAATCCCCAAAGTGGCATCTTTCCTGTGCTACAGAGATGTCAGCAGGTTGAGGCTCCTGGGCACAAGGAGATGTCAGGTAACAGAGGAACAAATCATGTGATCAAAGGTTGGTAAGGGAGATAGGAGAGGTAGAGGTAGGTGATCACCCAGGGCCAGAGACCAGATCTTGTGTCTGCAATGAAGCCTTCATGCGAACCACGAAGGTCCTTGGTATAAATATACTGGAGCCTAGGGTGTGCACTTCCCAACAACGGGCCTTGTATATCTCTTCCAGGATATGTTCCACTACATATAACAAACAAAAAAATCTTGTAAAGAATTTGTTTCCCAGGTTCTGTCAGCCATTGTCAAACTTGCTGAACCTGAGAGTTGTAGGCCTTTCTGGTCAGTCAGAAACACTTGTGATAAACCTAGACCTGTGACTGTCACCTTGAGGAGACTCAGGAAAGGAAAAGAGCTCTTCACTTTCCCCTACCTGAACCTGACTACATCTCTGCCTCAAGAGCCAAGTTTTGGCACAGCTGACCACTGGCTGCCCTGTACAGAAACTACATAGAAGTCATACTGCTCTCCTAAAAACCACAGCAAGATTTCTATGATGACCAGTGTCTTAGAGTTTCTACTGCTCAGATAAAACACCACAAGAGACATCAACCTCAGGAGGAAAGGGTTTACTTACAATTACAGTTGTGAGGGGAAGTTAGGGCCAGAACTCAAGTCAGGAGCTGATGAAAAGTCCATGGAGGAAAAATGCTTACTGCTTTACTCCTCATGGCTTTCTCAGCCTGCACCCAGGACCAGCAGCCCAGGGGTAGCATCTCCCATAGTGAACTGAGTTGCCACATTCATCACCTGAGAAAATGCCCTACAGGCTTGCCCAAAGGCCAGTCCAATGGGGGAATTTTCTCAACTGTGTTCCCTCTGCCCAAATTACTGTAGCTTGTATCAAGTTGACATAATACTAGCCAGACAACCAGTGAACAAGACCTGGGAGAAAAACGTGTGTGACAATCTCTTGTGTGACCTATGTATAGCACACTACTGTGATTTTTTCATTTGGATTGATGGCTATATCAGTTACTTTTCTGTTGCTGTGATAAAATACAATGACCAAGGCAACTTAAAGAAGAAAGACTCACTTTGGCTTATGATCACAAAAGGATAAAAGTTCTTCTAGAATCACTGTCAGGAAGCCTGACAAGTGGCAAGCATGGCGGCAGGAGCAGGCAACTGAGAGTTCCTATCTTGAACCACCAGCACAAAAGTACAAACTAGAAGTGGTAGGAGGATTCTCACTCCCAGGGATAACATAATTCATCCAGCAAGGCTCTACTACCTAAACCTCCCCTAACAGGGCCACCATCCAGGAACCTAATTGTTAAAATGCTTGCAACAATGAGAGACCTTTTTCCTTCTAACCCCAATGGCTACAGGGACTTCTCTAGAGAAAACAAGGGCTTTTGGAACTTCTGGAGTAAAGAATTAAACTAGCCAAGGTCTGAGTCAGTGTGGGAGCTTGCTTCTTCTATATGAGTTTTCTGATTTATGTTTATTCTTACTTTTGCTTTGTTTTTATAGTGCTATATATCAAATTCATGGCCTCGAACACACATTAGGAATCCATTATATCACTAAACTGAGCATCTCAATCTTACGTTTTATATATAAAGCAAATCGGCAGCTGGGCCGATCGTGGTGGTGTATGCTGAAGGGAGAGGCTGGCAGACCTGTGAGGTTGAGGCCAGCCTGGTTTACATAGTGAGTTCCAGTACAATGAGGACTATGTAGAGATACCCTGTCTCAAATAAAACAAAAAACAAAAATAAACCAACAACAACAAAGAATTCCAAAAGAAACAAGTTTCCTTGACACCTGTAGAGACCATTCCCCCCAACCCCACTGTATGGCTTAGTTCTAACTGTATATAAAGATTTTAATGGACTTAGTTAAAAATGGGAGACTGTACTGGGACACAAAAAAGGTAAGGTTTCTTTTTTTTAAGCCTTCCATTTCATGCATAATATTTATTTCATGCTCATATACATGCATACATGTGCCATGTATATGCATGTAAGTCAGAGAACAGGTTGGAGTGGTGGAACCCACCTTTAATCCCACAGCTTATCTAATAGAAAATTTAGAAAAGGTAAACTTTTCTGTCTACTTTTAAAAAGTCTATGTGTCTGTGGGGGATGGCTCCAGGATCCCCGAGAATCTCAAAATCCAAATAGAGACTCAGTGAATATCTTCCAGTAACCCATGCTCGTCCTCCTTTGTGCTTTAAATTATCTCTGGGTTAAGTTAAAAACCTAAACTAAGGGAAATGCCAGGTAACAGCTGTTGTGCTATGTTGTTTCAAGACCAACAAGAAAAAAGTCTGCAGAGTTGTAGATATCCTGCTGAATACTTTCCACCCACTGTTGGCTGAAGCCACAGGTTCAGAGTCCAAGAGACCTACCTGACAATTTTGTTGCCTAAGCATAAAAAGCTAGAATCTTGAGCTGGTGCAGTGTCAGTTGGCAAAGGTGCTTGCTGCTGAGCCTAATAACCTGAGTTTGGTCTATGGGAACTACACAGTGGAAGGAGAAAACCAGCTCCCACAAGTTGTCCTCTGATCTCCTCACATATAATGTTATACACAGACACACACACACACACACACACACACACACATCCAGTGGTTTTTTTGTTTGTTTGTTTTGAGAGAGAGTATCTGAACATCTAACCCTGGCTGACTGCTACCTTGCTAGACCAGACTGGCCTTGAACTCACAGGGATCTGCCTGTCTCTAGCTTCCAAGTGCTGTGATTAAAAATGTATTCCACCACTCCCTGTCACAATTTTAAAAAGTTCACATTGGAATATTTAGTTTATACCTTCAGAATCCTCATGTATCTGATGAAATGTAGGGGATTCCACTGAAACCAGCAACCTGGTTATTTTCACAGTGTTAAGGAGGGAAAATGGGCAATTCTGCTGTGAGGTCCCTTCTGAGCAGGGCCCCAGGGTCATACTGCCCTGAGTCTCTGTCACCATGGGAACCCAGCATTAGTTCCACTGACCTGGTACAGAGATCTCTACTTCCTTCTTCTGGCCGAGGAGCATATTCTGGATGCAGCAGAACATGTTCCTTACGGAGCTGTCTTTGATGGTTATCAAAGCCGCCACAGTGAACAGGCCTTGCTCGTCACGCTTCCTGAACTCTGATGTGGATGGTAACTTCTCTCCACTGGCTGTCCTCCACTGCACCTGAGGTTCTGGATACCATCCCGAAGAGGTGCACTCCAGCTCCCTCTCTTCATTCTCTTGAGTTTTCATACTGATGTGAGGATCAGAGCCCACAGCTATTGGAGAGAAACTGGCCTTAATCCTTGGTGGTTATTCTTTGGGGGTTTTATCATAGGATTATAGTATATGTAGGGAGCACAGAAACCCAAGGACACTAGGCTCAGAAAATCTCAACTCTTCACTTCAAAGACTAGGGATCAACGAAATGACACAAATGAACACCTCTTTAGGAAGATGGCATCTGAAATTACAGGCCTGTAATCCACCCTGGAAACATTTATGAGGGAGACAATCTGTTTTCAGCAAGCCTAGGGCTACAAAGTAATGAAAGAACAAGAAAGAAAGAATAAAGGAAAGGAAAAGAAAAGAAAAATGAAAGAAGACAGGAAGTAATGAAGGAAAGAATAGGAGAAAGCAAACAAGCAGAGGAGGACACAGATAAGAGAAAGAATACAGGAATAACATTATTCTGAGACTAAACACACGTGACAAGTCCTGCTTCTAAACAATCATCTTCAGCCTTTGAAATGTGGGCAGAGTTGGGTGAACAGACATAAGACAAGTATGGTGGTGCACACCTACAATCCCAACACTTAGGGAGGTGGAGGCAGTCAAATCAGAATGACCAGGCCAATCCCAAGTAAATTCAGCCTGGCCTACAGAAGACAAGGGAAGAAGGAAGGAAGGAAGGAAGGAAGAAAGGAAGGAACGAAGGAATGAAGGAGAAAGCAAGGTAGAAGTGAGGGTGGTGATAGAAAGGAAGGTGAGAGAGAGGGAGGGAGGGAGGAAAGAGGGACAGCAAAAACAAGAAAAAAGTGTCCTTTAAGGTAAAAAGAACAGCAAAACTGAGAGGTGGACAAGGTGTCTACGGTCCAGAAGCTCCAACACTGGCAGTGGAGTCCTATTATTGGAAGAGAAGCCTGGGAAAGGAGCAGAGCACATCTTGGTCCTGATCAACAGGCAAGATTACACAGAGAAGACTGTCTCCACAGAGATGGAGTCATGTGGAGGACAGCAGTTTCTCTACACTGTGATGTTCTGTCGGGGTCCTCTTTGAGGATGGGAACTTCAGCCTGTACTGCACATTCAAATGACTCCTGAGACTCCTGTATTCTCCTTCTGCCGGATCCTTTCCTCATAGTCCTAGAGGGCAAAGACATGTTCTATAACTTGACCCCAAAGAATTACATAGTCGCCCAAATTTATGAGTATATATAAGAATGTGTATTTCAGGTCAAAAGGTTTTAGTATTTTTCAAATTGGGTCTTAGACTAATGAATGAGCCACTAGAATTTAAATAAGTCTCTAGATATATATGTATTTTTTTAATGACACAGGGTCTATCTCTGTAGTCCACGCTTGCCTCGAACTTGAAGAATAGACCAGGCTAGCCTCAAACTCATAGATACACCTGCCTCTGCCCTCCAAGTACTGGGAATACAGTCATGCATTACCATGCCCTGCCTGGACTTTTAGATGTCATAGTCAAAATAGTGCTTTTTCTCTACATACACCAAAGCCCATGACTACATAAGCTGATGCTGAAAGGATCCACTGTCATGGGCT